CCCCCCCCCCCCCCCCCCCCCCCAAAAAAAAAGAGTAATAAATAGGCAAGTTGGTGATAACATACTGAGTCAAAGTAATCCTACCCCAACTCGAGAGAAGAAGGCTTCTCCATTACCCAATTTTACTCTTAACTTATTCGAAAGTAGCGAGAACAAGTGTCATTTTTGTCTTTTCCAGAGGGTATACACTCTCGAGGTACTTGGTAATTTTTTTTCTTTTAATATTCAAGTCAATGAAGGGTCTTATATGGCCCCCCTTAGGCTAGATGTTCTCTTTTCAAAATAAATATGCATAACTCCAATGACTATATATTATTCCAAGGCCAAACCTCAAATACAAACATGTTCTCCTTGTAATTTGCAGCATGACCAGAAGTTTCCCATAATTGCATATTGTACATATTTGGTGACAAAACCTGCAGAAAAAACTAAAAATGTTAAACACCATACTAAGATATATTGCAATTTCATAAGAACCGAGACATTGAGTATGGACCTCTTCGTAACCGCGATCCTTATATTGACCTCGCATGAAGTCCATTAGTTTATTGTAGATCCGAGCCCCATGAGGGAGGAAGAACCAGCTTCCTGGGCTAAAATTGATATTGAAAATGAATTTCAATAACAGTTATACAACATCGGGCTGAACTTCGTCTTTAAATACTTACCTGAGTGGATGACAAAAGAAAAGCTCCTGTTTCGTGCCCAATAATCTGTGATCGTACTTCTTTGCTTCTTCAAGCAAATGAATATATTCCTACACAAACAGATAGACTTCAAAAGAAGATCACATCACTTGTAATCAAATTGTCATTCTAATTTCCATCCACAACCCAATTGCTCAACACATCCTCATTGAATCAAGCAACATGTGGTTTATAAGAGTTAATGACATGAAAAAAAATTACAAAGCTTACCTTTAAGCGCTTTTGATCAGGATAAGATATCCCATAAACTCTTTGTAAGCTTTCACGATCTTTACTTCCCCTCCAGTAGGCAGATGATGCCTACAATTTCAAAGTGTTAAGTTTGAGTGCATCATAATATATATACATATATAAGAGACTCAACATTTCATTATCAAAAACAGGAAATATAAAAATGGAAAATCAAAAAAAAAAAATGGCTAGAAGAGAAGTTTTCCTGAGCACTAAAAAAAGTAGCTATATAAAACCATCCCACCCCACCCCAATCCACGCTCATAATACGAAAAGGAAAAATGGAGAAGTTCTTATGTACTTTTGCACAAGAGGGGGCAGTGTGTTGTAGAAACTTCCAAAAGCTACAAAAATATGTATTTATCTCTTTAAAAGTTAGATTGTTTCTTTCTATCCAAATCAATCAAAAATAACTCTAGTAGAGCCCTTTCAAAACAGTAATTAGAGGATCAATAGGTCAAAAATGAGTTTGTGCCGGGTGGTCTTAGCATTTCCCATAAAACACCGAGGAAAATCTCCAAAAATGTCCTGTTTAAAACTTCATGTATAATGATGAACACTATAAATCATGCATGCACTATATCTGTTTTTAAGAACACAGGTAAATTTTCTTCTTTTTCTTCAAAGTGAAATCTCAAATGATGTTTAAACAATACCTTAAGACATGCAAATGCTTTCACAAAAGATGTATTTGGTATGTGAGGACCACGACATAAGTCAACTAATGGGCCACATCTGTAAACAGTGATAGTCTTGTCTGCTGGCAAGTCATTGATGATTTCAACCTGATAAACATCGTTCAAAAATAGGAACGTAAGAACTCCAGTCCTCGTTGATCACAAGAAATGGAAATTATTACAGCGATATTCAATTGCCTTGAATTTGTTGTCAGAAAACATTTCAAGAGCTTGCTGCCTTGTAACTTCAATGCGCTCAAAAGGTTGTTTCTCCTGAAATTTTACAAGAAATAGATTAAGTTATTCCACCAATATTAAGTATAATCTGAAATGATGACATTTCATACAAAAAAACTAGATAAATGAATACTTTGTCGGGAAAAACATTTCAGCACCTTATTTCCAAGTCAAATAGGCCCCTCATACAGTAAGAAAATAGATGAAAAAAGAAGTGCGGCCAAATATGAGAAAGAAATAAATATGCTCTATGAGTTTGAATTAATCAAATATTTCACGTCAAATTATTAATTCACTTCTAGTTTCACAGGATTAAAAAATTGGTCCCAAAACGTTAACCGTTTTGCCATTCACAAACGAGAAAGACTAAGGTTATAAGCAACATCATTCTACTTTCAACCATGTTACTGTTAACATCCTTTGTCTACGTGTAGATACACAAGAAAAACATATACAAGAACCAGATTTTAATTATATAAAACAAATGGTGCAAATTCCTTGAAAAGAGAATAGAGAAAGAACAATACCGATACAGCTTTCAGGGCACCAGACTCAATTTGCTTGAAGTGATCATCATTCAAGCCTAAATCATCATAAAAACCATCATAATAGAATCCCTGTCATCAAAATCCAATTAATATATAAGGAAACTTTACTACAAGCATAAAAGCCAAGGCAGTTAAATACAACGTTAACACTTTGTCCCCCCTACAAAAGTCAACATAGACAGTGCAAAAGAACGTTTATCCTAACTACCATAATTATCCCATCAAATTACAGCAATGTAACTTAATTCTCGAGAACAGATAATGCACAATACAGTACAAATTTCCTACAATTCTAAAGCTCTTGGGCCTCCGAGATACTTGAATCTTGCCTTGGGAAAACCTAAAGAAAGGTGATTTCTCAAAACTAGTAGTAGAAAAGATTCAAGGAAAACTTCAAAAATATACGAGAACCAACTCAACCAATGGAGGGGCCTTGCCCCTTCAGAATCTGCTCTTAAACATCTACCTCCAATTCTCATCTCTCTATGGAATTCCTAGAATGCTAGCTGGTTCCATTGATAAAAATTGTAGACAACTTTTATGAAAGAGGGTAGATTACAAGGGTTGCAAACCATATAGAAGTAGAAGACAGTACTCTTCCAAAAGAAAATGGCAACCTTAGTATTGGCAATAATTGATTCAGGAATTTGGTCTTCATTTCCAACTCTATTGTTACCCTTAGAAACTAAAAACTTGTGCTAAAGAGTTACTTCAAGTAAATATGGGGTGCCATATTTTGGTTGGTTCTGGATGGTTAATCCTAGAAGTGGAGATGGTACAAGATATGATTCTGGTAAGATAACCGGCTCTCAAGTGAGGTACTTGGCTAAAATTTCAAAGGTTACTTCATCACTACTAGACAGAAACACTGCAGAGGAGGGTTTATCTAAATCAATGAGAAGAAGACTGATGTAAGGTTGCTCAAGAGTTCCGCAACTTTTTCTTCCAAAGATGTGTATCTTTCGTCCATGAAGGTCAAAGTCCTTTACCCTTGTTTTGGCCCTTGATATTCAATTTTTTTAAAATTCCCAAAGAGCAAGATTCTTCTCATGACCCATCTGTCCATGAGAGAACATTCTGCCCTCCACTTTTTTTCTTTTATTGCCTACCATCAATATAAACCGACTGATATTTAATGATCATGGATGGAAGGATCTTTTTTATCTTTATGATAAAACCATTGAAATGGTATTGTCTATAGTCACTAACAGCACGAGAATCGGATTTCTTGGTAATAAGGCAGATATAGGTGTCTCTTAGTGAGGTATTGACAATCTCATTCTGAAAAAAAAAAAAAAAAAAATCTTGGAACACCCTCATGATGCAACCTTTGAGGATGTTCCAAAAATTCTGAAGGAATTCAATTGTCTAACCATTAAGGCCCGGGGATCTTGTGGTGCCTAATTCTGAAACAGCATGCTTGACCTCTTCTTTAGTAAATACAGTTCCCAAAGATGATGCTTGCTGTGGAGTAAGCGGATCCAGAAATATGTGGGAGGGATCGGTGACCAGGATCTTTGGTGTATAGTTGGTGAAAAAAATTCGTAAACTCATTTTCAATCTCGGCATCAGTATGACAGCTTTTACCATCAGATTACAACACCTCAATGATGGCATTTTTCTTCATTTTTGTGGCATGATCCGGTGAAAAAAAGAGGTATTAATATCACCTTCTTTCAGACGTTTAGTCTTGCATTTTTTGCCTCCGAAGGGTCTCTTCCTTGGCAACACAAGAAATAAGTTGTTCCTTCAAAGAATTCCTTTGAATTTTGTGAATTGGAAGGAGGTCGCCGGCTTCCTCTAAGCTGTCAATAAGAGAAATTTCTGTTATGAGCTGGTTCTTTTGTGTGGTAAGGCAACCAAAGTTGGCCTTGTTCTATTCCTTGATAACTAGTTTAAGGCCCATGAGATTTTGGATAAATCCATGCCCAGAGGGCATGGAAGGAGAGTTTCAAACACCTAGCCTCAACTCACAATTATGTTTTGACAAAAGTTGGCAACGGTCTTCCACTAACTTTTGGCATGATAGATGGGTGGGAGACCTTCCTTTATTTATCAGATTCCCCCGGATTTTATCCTTATCCAAAATGCAGCAGGTTACTGTTAAAGATATTTGATACACTGATTTGGCCTTCTGGGATCTACAACTTAGAAGAAAATTGAAGGAAGTCGTTGAATGGGCTGATTTGAGAACTGTTTTATCCAGCATTAGCTTGACTTTGGATGAGGAACTTTGGGTGAAATTTCACAAAAGAAATGGGCTTTTCTCTACAAGATCATTACTCAACAGCATTGATTCATCTTCTGTTAGATTGCCTCCATCTTTTTACGGAGGCTATTTGGTATGATATCTTCCCAAAGAAGATTAAATTTTTTTTTAATGAGAGCTTGCTCATCGTGCTGTCAACACCATTGATCATCTTCAAAGAAGGCTCCCCTTCGTGGCCTTGTCTCCTAACCATTGTATTGTTTCCAAGACCAGTTTGGAATCTCAATCTCATTATTCATTCACTGCCCGTTAACACAATCTTCTTGGAACAACTAAAGAAAAACTTTCAATTGGTCAGTGGTCCTTCCAAAGGATCCTTACATTCCCCTCGGTGTTCTCTTATTGGGTCATCCATTCAGATTGAAGAAGGATCTATAGTAGAAGAATCTTGTTCGAGCTTTTTTGTGGTCAATATGGACAGAAAGAAACCATAAGGTATTTTATTCAAAGGACACTACTTATAGGATTTTTATTTTGTATAATCTCCTTTATCTTTCCATTTCTTGGTGTAAATTGAATTCTTTCTTACTCTCTCTTGTCCAATTGGAGATGTTTATTGTAACTCCTTTGAATTGGAATCTTTCTTTTCCATTCTTTTGTAATTTCATACAACAACAAAATTGTTTCTTATAAAGGAAGTAAAAAATAAATAAATATATGTGTGTGTGTGTGTGTGTGTGTGTGTGTTTACCTCTCCTCTAGTGGTACAGGGTCCAATGCACAGCTTGCAACCATACTCCATCTCAAGCGACTAGACCCAGAAAAAAGAAAACAATTAAAACAGTGTTACGGTCGTCGTTAAATGCACGAGAATAGATTGGATTATCAACCTGTCCAAGTATATGAGCGCTTGAATGCCAAAAAGTATCGCGCCCTTCGTCGCTGTCGAAGGTGAACAGCTTAAGCTCACAATCGTTTTCTAGCGGCCTGCTCATGTCCCATAGAACTCCATCAACTTGAGCAATCAAAGCGTTTGCAGCTAAACTTTTGGAGATTTCTCTTGCTACGTCTACCGGAGCCGTTTGCCATTTCTGACCCTCCTTCACCGTCCCATCCGGTAAGGTAATCCTAAAAAGTAAAAAAAAAATCATACATACGATTCGGATTTGATAAATCCAAGCATAGCCAAGCCATTTCCACATTTTGCAATGCTACACTAACTTGATTGGATGAGAAGGAAGAGAACGACGGTCGGCAAGCAGCTGTGCTTGAATTGACTGAAAAAGTTGAATGCGCTTGGGAATGGTGGTACTGAGGTAGGCCTCGTCTTTGGGGTGTTTCGCCGCCATTGAAGCAGCTTGAGTGCTCTGGAGTTTGTTGTGCAGGAGGCGGAGGGAAGGTGAAGAAAGGAAGCGATTGGCGGATGAAACAGTTTCACGGCGGCTATGAAAAGAAATGAGAAGCTTCGCGTTCCTGATTTGAGAACACAGCATATGCAGCGCTTGCTTACGGCGGGCGGCTATGGTATTTTCCCACACTACATTGTCAGGTTAAAACTTAATAATTTATTGGACGAAAATACCCTCGCTATTTTAATGCCCTGCCTCCCTTGCCCCTCTGCTGCTTTGTCTCTCTATTTTGCCTTTTTCTAAAATAATAATTGATTCTCCGCTTATAATATTTTAATCATATAATATAAATATAATTTATAGTATTTACATGAATATTAAATGTACACACTGATATCCACCAAGTAATATATTTGTAATACCCCTTTAATTTTATTATAAATATTAGAAAAAAGAAAAAACCCTAAACAATAGAAAATGAGAGCGGTATATTTATTCCCATGGCATCGATACTTTAGATCTCTTAATCGTTGCATCCATAAATTTTTGAAGAACGTGGGGATAACTCCAATTTTCCCTCGGGTAGTCCTTCTCATTGCTTTAAAACTATTTTATTAATTTCTTGACATTAAAATGGATGTTTTTCATGAAGGAGACGGGGCTTGTATCGTGCTGCTCAGATAAGAGGTAGAAATCGTATTTAAATTGACTAAATAACTCGTGACTTTGACCTTAAAATTGTAAGCATCTACACGAATTTGTCCTCAAGAATTCATCTGTCAGCTAGAGGAGAAGGAGAGGAAGAGAATTGGTGAAGACGTCAAGCACTAAAAAGGTTAGAAAGTACCTAGACTGTGAGCAAAAAACGTGAGTTTAAGTCGATGAGAGAACTAATTTTTAGGAGTACTTTAACTACGTTTATCTCTACCCACCTTCAACGGTAGGGCTCAATCGCTTCTTCTTCCTTGCAACTCTTACAACTTTGTAAAAGATGTCAAGGGTTAAAGCTAAACAGATAGGTCGTGGAGAATAATTATCAAGGACACGTGCCTACTAAAATCGTCTTTTTCCTCGATGATGTGGTCAGTTCAATTGAACTGGTCATGTCACCCTCTAATTCAAACCAGTTCCAATTTTTTATTCAATTGCACCTCAACCATACTAGTTCTCGTGGATCTCTCTTTATTTCCTAAAAATAAACCCCCTTAGATACTGCG